CCCAATATTCTAAGGCTTTATGAATAAAGTCTACATCAAGATCTACCCCATTGACACCATAAATACCCCCCCATATGAAAAAGTCTAATTCCTTTCTCTCCTTGGCAGTTAGAGACCGACACCATACATGAGTGAAGTTGGTAAAACTCTTAGAAACTAAAGACATGATTATTATTTTTTCAAAAGCTAAGATTATATTTAATCAGTTGAATTATGAAGAAAATCGGCTGAGCAGGGGGCTATTTATACACAAAATCGGCACATTTTCAATCCGGAAAGGATTTGGAGTCAGCACTCATCAGCTCCAGACGCCAGATCCTGGCGCCAAACGCTAAGAGTTAGATTCTGGCGCTAACCCAAAACGCTTGGCGCCAGATGGCGCTGACGTGTCTTATCATACGAGCTTTCCAAAAACCGCATTTTTTTGCCTGATTCGAGTCTGAACAATGACTTTACGATCTTTTATTCTTTTTATACCCTTTTTTCTTAACTAATATATCAATTATATTTTTTGGAATTTATTTAGACTTAATTTTAAGTTTTTTGTAAATCCATTTTTTTTATTTTTTTCATTTTTTCTTTTGGGGGAGAAAGTCGGATAACCTCCATCAATAATAAAAACGACGGAATTTTTGCGCAAAATTATTAATTATCACAATTCTTTGCACACACTAACATTCACATAAAAATAAATAAATGTTAAATAAATAAACTCATAGTGGTATGTATATACAAATATGTCTAATAAATGAGTCTAATAAAGGCAAAGTTCTATACAAAGTCAAAAAAAAAAAAAAAAACACAGGAATAAACTACGGCGCCGAAGGACGTACGCCCATCATGTCATGAAACTGCGCAGTATGAGCAGTAACCTCTCCACCATCTCCAGCTCCAGTCTCCTCGGGAGGTGGAAAACTCAGCTTAGGACCCGTCCACCCAAGATCAACCTAAGGCTGAGGCTGCGGAGGCTGCTGCGATGACGAGCCGACCTCGTACATCCCACCACCTCTAAGAGCCGAGGTAGCCTCTCCCTGGCCTACCGGCGCAGCGTGTGTACCCTCAGATAAGAGCCCAAGCCCTCCACCGCCTCGGTCCGGGAAGCCTCAGAACGACCACCCCGACCGCCAGAACAAGTACGACAACATCTCGAGCTAGACCTCGCCGGGTCTCTCCGCACCTCAGGTCTAGTCCGGGTACGAGAAGGAATAGGCTGACCCTGCAAAAAGAAACTAAGTCGAAACAATCAAAATAGAAGCAGTAATGGAAAAATAAGAAAGGAAACTACCTCCTGAACGGCGTCGTCGCGACGACACGTAGCCACATTCCTCATCCGAACGAGCTGGGTCCGGAAGGCATCTATAAACCGTGCCATCGCCGTGACCACCTCGCGCGAGAACTATCAAGGAAATAAAGTCAGTAATGATGCATAACATATATGGACAAAAATTGCAAATAAATAAAGCTTACCCGAGTCTGGTGTCGAGGAATCGACCGCTCCATGAAGCGCTCATCCTCAGGAGCCGGAGGAATCATCTCCTCGATCGGCCCGTATGTCTCTTGATAATGGATGGACATACGAGGTGGTACGAACTCAGTAGGTCCAACCTGACAAAAGCAAATCAAAATAAGTGAAATATTACTTGGGGGCTACTTAACGAAAAGTAAAAAATGAAAATCATACCGCCACCTCCTCAGCCGGTACAGGGACTTGAGCTAACAACGGCAGCAGCTCCTCCTCATAGCATCGCCGAGGGATCGTATAAGATCGCCAAGGGACACCATCTCTCTCTGACATGTTCACTAACCTCGCACCATTAAACATATGACGTGGTGGAGGAACAGGAACGACGAAGGTGTCTGTGGAATGCTGAATAGCAACCCTCTCTCCAAGATATGCAACTGCTCCATATGTCCCTAAGAAATAGCGACACTCAGCGGTATACTGCGCAGCTACCCAGGGACAACCAAGCCGATCCACGGCCAGTACTGTAACGCCTATTAGATAAGAATCCACCAAAGGTAATACGAAAGTGTTCAACTATACAAAGAACCATACCGAGATGATCTGATCTAGGACATAAGCAATAGACATCCCAGCACGGCGGCCTCCCTAACAGGCACTCACTGGAAACCTGTGCGGCGACGGTCTCGCTGGGGCAACTGAGGGAAAATACTCGTAGAACCAGATCTATAAAAGGCAAAAAGTATCAACAAGTGCTAACCAAAGCTTAGAGCTAAACTTTATGGGAGATAAAGTATACCTCTACTACTCTCTAAAAGCCGGACAGAGCGACGTTCCTCGTGAAGGACTGGTGTCGATATGAGTCTCGTAACGCTCGAACAAATTCAGCATATGCCAAGCTGGCCCAGTCATAAGTCCCGATCAAGTGTAGATCACGGACCGCAGGTAGGTAGTAAAGTAGCATTCTACTACCCTTGTTAGGGGAAAACATCCCTGACAACAAGATAAGCACAAAGATGCGCACCCGTTGCTCTCGGGTGGTCGCATCATCCTCAAAAGTCGCTGCCAGAGTCGAACGGCGAATACCCTTGGCACTGAACTGAGTCGACTATACCTCAGCACGAGCTGGAACAGCAATCGGACCTAATAGCTCCTCAACCTCAAGAGAAAAGACGATGATCTCGTTGTCGAATGGCAGCGCAGTAGAACTAAACTCCAGTCCCGTAATAAGACTGAAGTCGGTCGGGGTGACCATCATCTCACCCTAGGGGAAGTGGAAAGTGTTGGTGGTGTCCCAAAAGAACTCCACCAGGGCATGAGCCACGTGTTGACCCCCGCTAGAGGCAATCATGGCCTCCGAGGTCTCAAACAGTGCAGTCAACTAGCAAGACTCCCAGAGAAGTCTCACCTCTCCATCGACACCGATATACATCTTGTACAGGTCGCCTAGGGTATCGCAGCCTGAGCCGTGGTTGCGCGTCCTACCAACCGTGATCCCACGTCGCACCCTCTCAGATTTATGGTGGACAGGGAGAAGTACAGAGTCCTCTCATCCCACTCAGGGAGGGGACCAAGAGAAGTGGATGGGTCGGCGTCCTCCTCTACGGGCTCATGCTCCCGTCATGCGTCTCGGGACCGTGAACCCGAACCTCGTTGTCTAGTCATGCTACATTATGCAAAATCATTATAAATTAAGTTTCTATAGTATCTAAGGTTTGCCTAACCACATGATACTATGTTCGCAAAAAAACTGAGTACGTAGTACAAAAACAGAGCACAATTTCGAATTGAGCATACACGACATTTTTCAAGCATCCAAAAATTTTCTTGCAATACTATGGTAATTATTGTGACAAATTGGACAAGAATTGCTAGCAAGAACACCAAGAACAAGCCACATTGTATTCCTGACCTTAAGAGGTCCAACAATGGTGATTTTTTTGTTTCTTCACCAAATTGAATCAAAGAAGTCTCAAATTATTCCCAAGGCAATATATAAACATAAACAAGCAATTTTACGGCATCAAATTTGACAAACAAAGTGAATTAAGCAATTTAAGTTTCGAATTTTCAAGAAATTCGTGAACAAACATGTGCAAAATTTATCAAAACCGGAGTGAGTTTGGAGAAAACTTACATAGATCGGGAAAATGGATGAAATAAGCTTTGATTTGCAATAAATTTAAGCAAATTCGGTTGAGAAACGAGCGAGAACGAATGAATTGAGTTCACCGGCGATTTCTCGAGCAAAAATGAGCAGCAGTAGCGAAAATGACGAAGAAAGGGGTATATATGGAAATCCCGACTCTAGCGCCAAGTGACAGGCCTTGGCGCCAGACGATAAGGTTAGCGCCTGGCGCTAGAATCATATATGTGGCGCCAACAGAATTTTAGCAACGACAGAATGTTCAGTAACTCAATGCGATTATTTCGACCTCTTACAACATTTTAGGTTCCTTGGTACGCCAATTATCCCCTCTAAGAAATTTGACATGATTTAGTAATCGGCTTGATTACAATTGCATAAAGTGATCGACTTGATGAATGATCGTCTCACTTAGCTTAAAGCGCCTAAGCATTGGCTCATCGCAAAGCACCGACATAATGGTTCATACAGCAAAGTCACCGACATACTTGTTCATATTTCAGAAGGCACTGACATACAGGTTCAAAAGCAGCAAAAGCGCAGACGTACTGGCATAGCGGAAGCAAATTTCAAGCGAGCTTTTAAAGATCGACAAGCGTGGGTCTTCGATAATTTTCCTCGGAATATCATCGCAACAAATGAGGATAGCTTCAAGCGAGGATATCTTCGGCAGCGTTCCCTAACTTGCGGAGAGTTGTCACAAACAACTGGAGGTGATTTCAAGCGAAGTTATCTTCGATCGTGTTCCCTGGCTTGCGGAAGATGGTCACAAAGTGCTAGAAGGTGGTTTCAAGCGAAGCAATCTTCGATCGGGTTCTGTAGCTTGCAGAAGTCTATCATGGAAGAATTGGAGGCAGTTACAAGCGTAGCAATCTTCAGGCGGCATTTAATAGCTTGCAGGAAAAATACAACAATACAGCAGCAAATCAGTTACTTTTAGAGACGTGTGCTCGTTGGTGCAAGATACAACAGCAATTTTGCATACTCAGCACTAGCTTTATCAGACTTTACCTCGACAATTGGAATTTACCCTGTAGGCAAGCCATAAACTACCCTCACATCCTCTACCTCAATTTCTATTTTTTCATTCGTTAGCAATTAAAAAGTTTGGCTACTCTCTTCAAAATTTCTCAATATCCAATTACAGAACCTTTGATCAAGTTGAGGTAAACTGATGTCAAGAAGTGATCTTAACCCTATATCAACAACTTGTTGTTTTTGCTCAGCTGTCATTTTATCTATCCATTGTATGAACTTGACATGTTCTCTTTTTAATGCTTTCTCTTCCTCAAATTCCTCTTCCTATATTTCCTCAACTTCCTCAGTTTCCATTGCTTCAACTATTTTAGTTTTCATTTTATTTTTTCCGCTACCTTTGCTCTTTCCTTGATCTTACACTACCAATTGTTGCTCCCCCTTTTCAGCCTTTGCCTTTACTAACTTCTGTGCCTTCCCATTTTTTGCCTGTTTCTTCTTTAGATTTATTTCCTCCTCCTTCTCCTCCTCCTCCAACTCATTATCTTCCTCACTGAAAGGCTTTGCTTCAGCTTTATATATTGACTCTTCACTATCATCTCCACTGTCAGTTGAACTTTCATCAGTAGGATCTTGAGATGGTTCATCAGATGATACTTCTTGTATTTTTTTTTCCTCTTCCCAACATTTTTCTTGGCAAGGCTGACAACTGAAAATTGAAATTTATATAAAAATCATCTCCATATGATTTTTAATGTATTGAAAATGAACAGTAAGCAAATTATAAAATGAACAAAATTGTTTTTATAAATGATAATACTATATATAAAAATTTAACATTTATAATATATCATTATATACCTGCTTTTTCTTTTGCCAGCAACCTTAGAAGTTTTCTTCACTTCTTTGGCAGTTTTCTTTTTTCCAACTATATATTGAAATTGAAAATTAATAATACATCATTATATATGATCATTCTATTTATTAAAATTGAACATTTACTCTTTTACCTTGTACAACTTTTTCAACAGGAGCACCTGGCATTATTTTAAGAGGTGCTGCAACATATTCAACAGGAGCACCTGCCCTTTTTTATATTTGAGTAGGTGCTACAGATGGTGCATCAGCTTCCTTTTTAATAGAAGAAGTCCTTGTAGACATTCTTCTTTTTTGACCTTTTTTCTGGGTTTCTTCATCAGGCTTAAAAACCTCCTTCTGGCCTCCCTTTTCAGATGCATCCAACAGAACATCTATTTTATTTTAAATTTTATGTTAGTAAAGTTAAAAATGTAATATTTATTATTAAATAGAAAATTATTACCTTTACCTTGTGTAGACACCTATTTGTGTCCCCAAAACCAAACCCGGTGATGAGTACCTTTCACGTCAAATCATAATTGAATGAAGTGAAAGTGTGGAATGTCTAGTGTTGCGGATAGTTTTAATTTCTTTTCTTTTCTCTCTGTTTTTGAAAATCTATTTTAAGAAAATAGCCAATCCAGTTTGGTTGGTCCATGATATGGGTCTAATAATATTGTAGTTGGATGGGGCTTGAAATGAGCTTTCCAACGATATATTATAAGCCCAATTCCGATGAATATTGAGGAAGTTATGGCAAAATTACTAAACTAGGCCCGATTTGAGCCTTATATGCGGCCTAATGATCTAGGGGAGGGCCTAATATAAATTTATCATTCCTAATGCAATTAGGAATGGTTTTAGTTTTCTAGATTCTTCTAGAAGGTTCTTTTCATTCCTAATTCAATTAGCATTGATAAATTGACTTTTGTTGACTTTTTAGAGTTTTAATCAGAATAAAAGAATGTTTTAGAGGAAAATACAATTTTATCCTTCTGTACGGTTAATTTCTATCTGATTTTAGAAAATGCGTTAAAAATTTAATTAGCGCCAAACGCCAGCATTAGCGCTTGGCGCCTGGCACTAATGTCAGCGTCTGGCGCTAACTCTGCTTTTTCGCGTCAGAACTTTGGTTCGATTTTCTATCTTTTTAGCTGATTTTCTCTATAAATAGCCTCCTAAAAACTCTGTTTTCATTAATCTACAATCATTAACTCTCTAGTTTTCTAATTCTTTTTTGTCTGTAAGCTTAAAGCTTCCCTCTCTCTCTTTTCTGAACCCACCCTCTCTTTTTACAAAATTCCGCATTCACAAGACTTAGATACACCTAGCATTGTTCGAAGTTGCTTTTGCCCTAGACGTAAAAGATTTTAATTTCTGAGGGTTTGGTCCCAAATCTCTCTTTCAGTTATTTAATTAAATTGTTGTTTATATTTTCCTTGAAGTTACTAACGCATGTATTTTGTTATTAGAATGAGGTACGAGGCATCTAAGTAAGTGCTGTAATGGTTTTTATTGTTATTATGATGTAGAAATCATGCTTAGGTTGTTATTATAATCCCTAGTATCATGTTAGGATGTTTTCCTAAATTTGATGTTAAGGATGACAACAATAAATTCCTAGTATCATGTCTAGGGTAACTTTAATATCAAGTATGATTAAGAGTATGATGCCTTTTATGTTCTTCCTAATATTTATGATTGCTAGTATCATGTTAGGATTAAAGCTTTGATTTTTATTGTTTTGTGACATGCTAGGGTTTGTTATTAATCTTGTTAGTATCATACCTAGTATCTTGCTATTATTATGCTTTAATATTAACATGAATATGATTATGATTATAATTGTTATAATTTACGATGATTATTTTTAATCATGATTATTATAATTATTACTATTATGTTGCTTGACTATATATTATTGTTATTGCTTGATCACGCCTTTTATGAATGCTTAACGAGAATTTGTATTTGTAATCACGCTTAATAAGATAATTAATAATCTTGTTTAGGGTTAATTATGATTATAATTCAAGTGATCGCCAATGGTAGTTTATTTGTGCATTAATATTCAACCAACATAGATAAAAAGGTTTAGAGTTAACATATTGATTGCTGTTAGTCAGAAAGCGCACATGAATACGATCTGAAAATAAAGTAGAGGCCTATTATTAGGGCAGGCTCAATCTCTTTTAGGTTGGATTTGTACTTTTATCCCCAAACTACCAGTCATGGTTCAAGACCTATTGGAATTAACGATCTCTTGGATCATTAAGGGGTGTAACCTTCACCTCGTGAACGGTTTACAAGTTCCTAAAACTTGTTCGCGACTTTTTTGCTCTATCTTCTTTCCCTTTGGACGCCACCGTACTTTAGTGTATGATCACAGTGGGGTTCAAGTTAGGGGTAATGCTTGAAATATTCCCTACACCTTGGCTTCTTGTAACTCTACCACTTGGCACAACAGGGCTTTTATTTTTTTTTTCCTTGCAACCATTTTGTATCTTGATTTCCTTTTGGTTAACTGTTCACTCTTTTGAGATGAGGCAGTTGTTTCCTCACTTATTTTTGTGAAATCTTTATCCACATCTTCATCTAGCATATGAGTTTCATCCTCAATTTCAACATAATTAGATGCCATTTGTGATGCATATTAAATGGTCAAATATAAAACATTAAATAAACATTTATGTAAATAGGATGACAAATGTTTAATCTATACAATATAAATGAACATTTCAGATAATGAATATTACCTTTTTTTAGTCTTTCATTTGCAGTTGTATCTTTCATTTCTTTAGGCTTTGGCATGTCTTGCTTTTGCCCATCTATATAAAATTAATTAGTGGAAATTATTAATCTTCTTGAACATTTTATTTTATGTAATGAATATGTACATTTTTCAATATTTACCTTTCAGATTTGTTGTCTTTGGAAAGACATCTTCCACAGTTTTCTCCTTAGGGCTTTTCTCTTTTTTAGGACCTTTTTTTCCTCTTGTTCTTCTATGTAAATTTAATCAATCAAAATTGAAATTTATTAATCTTATTGAACATTCAATATTATTCAGATCCAATATGAACATTTTATGTAATAAAAATGTACATTTTAAAATTTTTACCGTTCAAATTTGTTATCTTTGGAAACACATCTTCCACAATTTTCTCTTTAGGGATTTTTTCTTTTTCATGCCCTTTTTTCCCCTCTTGTGCTTCTATGAAAATTTAATCCGTTAAAATTGTTATTTATTTATCTTATTGAACATTCAATATTATGCAGATCCAATATGAACATTTTATGTAATAAAAATGTACATTTTAATTACCTTTCAACTCTATTTCCATAGTTTTCTCTTCTACTGGCCCTATTTCTTTCTGTTTTGCTTCACCTTCAATAGTATTGTTAAAATTGATATTAATTATTAAACATAATATTCAATAAATTTGAACATTTACCTCTCTTGATTTCCTTGCTTGCCTTTTCCATTCTTTTGAGATTTTTCATAATTTTGATTGTCGATTCTTTATACTCCCCGTAAATGTATGATACTGTTATATAATTTTGAAATATCTACATTATTTTATTATATTAATTCACTTATTCAAATTTGAACATACTTTGGGTTTCTCTCTATGTCTAAATTTATTTGTTGCATCTTGTCCTTTAAGGTTGTTATTTTTTATTTATTTTTTTTCCTTGCACGCTTCTGTTGATCATCATCTTTTGGTTTTCTGATAATTCATTAAAAACATGTTTGAATTTACAATTTTATTAAATAAGTTAAAAATAAACATAAAGTCCATAGAAATGAACATTTAACTTATCTTACTGTTGGCCAGGTGTAGACACCCATTTGTGTCTCCCCAAAACCAAACCCGGTGATGAGTACCTTTCGCGTCGAATCATAATAGAATAAAGTAAAAGTGTAGAAATTTTAGTATTGTGATAGTTTTAATTTCTTTTCTCTTCAATCTGTTTTTGAAAACCTATTTTAAGAAAACAGCCAATCCAGTTAGTTTGGTCCATAGCAAAGGTCCAATAATGGTGTAGTTGTATGGGGCTTGAAAAGAGCTTTCCAAGATATATTATAAGCCCAATTCCGATGAATAATGAGGAAGTTATGACCAAATTACTAAACTGGGCCCGGTTTGATACATATATGCGGCCCAATGACCTAGAGGAGGGCCTAATATGGATTTATCATTCCTAATGCAATTAGAATTGATTTTAGTCTTCTAGATTCTTCTAGAAGGTTCTTTTAATTCCTAATTCAATTAGCGTTGATAAATTGACTTTGGTTGACTTTTTAGAGTTTTAATCAGAATAAAAGAGTGTTTTTAAGGAAAATACAATTTTGCCCCTCTGTACGGCTAAATTTTATTAGAATTAAGAAAACGAGTGAAAATAATTGTTAGTGCCTGACGACAGGGATTAATGCCTGTCACTAATGCTTGGCGCCTGACGCTAGCCTTAGCACCTGGCGCTAATGTTCAGTGTCTGGCGCTAACCTGTTTTATCCTCGTCGAAACTCTGATTTGTTTTTCTATCCGTTTGGTTGATTTTCTCTATAAATAGCCTCTTAAAATTCTGTTTTCAATCATCAATTCTTTCTAATTCTCATCAACAATCATCAAATATCATATATTCTCCAGTTTTCTTATTCTCTCTAGTTTTTAAGAATTCTTCTCTCTCTAACTTTCTATACAAAATTTCGCATTCACAAGATCTAGAAACACCTAGCCAAATTTGAAGTTGCCTTCGCCCTAGACGTGAAAGATTTTAATTTCTGAGGGTATGGTCCCAAATATCTCTTTCAATTATTTAATTTAATTGTTTGTTTTATATTTTCCTTGAAGTTACTAACATGTGTATTTTGTTATTAGAAAGAGGTACGAGGCATCTAAGTAAGTGCTTTAATGGTTTTATTGATATTATGATATAGAAATCATGTCTAGGTTGTTATTATGATTCCTAGTGTCATGTTAGGGTGTTTTGATCTTCCCAGTATCATGTTTAGGGTGACTTTAATATGAAATATGACAATTGCGATGCTTCGTATATTCTTTCCTAATATTCATTTTAAAACTAAAGCTTTTTTTTTAATGTTTAATGACATACTAGGGTTTATTATTAATATTGTTAGTATCATGCCTAGGATCTTGCTATTATTATGCTTTAACATGATTATTTTAATTATTATGATTGTTATTTCAATCATGATTATAATAATTATTATTATTATGATTATTATGTTGCTTGATTATATTTATTATTTATTGCTTGATCACGCCTTTTATGCATGATTAAAGGGAATTGATACTTATAATCACGCTTAATAAGATAATTAATAATTTTTTTTAGGGTTAATTTGATTATAATTCAAGTGATCGCCAATAATAGTTTTGTTTGTGCAGTAATATTCAACCAACATAGATAAACAGGTTTAGGGTAAACTTATTGATTGAATAGTCAGAAAGCGCACATGAATACGATCTTCTGGATCGTTAAGGGGTGTAACCTTCACCTTGTGAATGGTTTACAAGTTCCTAAAACTTGTTGGCGACTCTTTTGCTCTATCTTCTTTCCCTTTGGACGCCACCGTACTTTATTGTATGATCACAGCGGGGTTTAAGCTAGGGATAATGCTTGAAATATTCCCTACACCAGGAGTATTCTTTTTTGTATTGCTTTGCAAATGAACATAAAGTCTATAGAAAATGAACATTTAACTTATCTTACTTTTGGCCAAGTATTCTTTTCTAGTTTGCTTTGCCCTTCTGGTTGAACTTCTTTTTGCTTGCTGAAATCAATACTAAAAAATACTTTAAATAAAAATACACATAAATGGTACACAAAATAGATAGTTATCAAAAATAAAATGAACATTATATGTTTATACCTTTGATCAACTTCATTTTTGTCCTTTTCAAGTACAATAGTATCCTATTTTTGCTCCACATTCTTTTCACTAAATAGTGTATAGATTCATTAATTAGAATTTGTATTATAAAAAATGAACAAATTTTGTATGTAAAATGAACATTTATTTATATAAAAGTGAGCATTAGAATACCTTTGATCAACTTCATTTTTGTCCTTTTTGTCAGGAGTATTCTTTTCTGGATTGCTTTGCGCTTCTGGTTGAACTTCTTTTTGCTTGCTGAAATCAATATTAAGAAATACTTTTAATAAAAATGCACATAAACGGTACAAAAAATATACAGTTATCAAAAATGAAATGAAAATTATTTATTAATACCTTTGATTAACATTATGTTTGTCCTTTTCAAGTATATTGTATCATGTTTTTGCTCCACATTCTTTTCAATGAATATTGTATATATTCATTAATTAGAATTTGTATTATAAAAAATGAACAAAATTATATGTAAAATGAATATTTTTTTATATGAAAGTGAGCATTAGTATACCTTTCATCCCTACTCTCTTTGTCAGTTGTGGTATGTGTAGCAGACACACTCTAAGTTGTTTCATGAGTAACAGAGATGTTAACACTTTGTTCACTTAAAAAAAATAGAATTATTTTATATAATATGACATTAAAGTATGAACTAATTTATACAGTGAAGAAGATAAATAGTTATTTTTGTATAAATCTTTTATACCTTATTGTTTGATTTGTCTCTGGTGGTCTTGATTTTGACATATATAAAAAATTTCACTCGAACCTTTTTTTTTCACTAAAATTTTAAGAATTACCTAATAAGTTTGGTATATATACACAATGTACAATGATTGCATGTAAAAACAATTATTTTATAGATATAAACTTACTTGTTTAAAGTGTATCTTTAATAAATACTACCATATTCATTTTGTTCTATGACCTTCTTTAGAGTTAATGGTTTAGATTTTCCATCTCTAAATTGAAGCAAGTGTATCACTCTAAATGACATATCACTACATTATAAATTAATTACAGGACATTAGTTTGAATGCATATCGCTGAAATGATTATTATCATATTTATATATGTGCATGATGTTTTAATGAAATGTACATTTGTTATTTAAGCCTCAATGAATACTCAAATGAACAAATATACATATATGATCATAATTATATCTATAAATGAACATTATGAGTATCAAATATGATCATATACAATGATGTTTCAATGAAATGTGCTTTTGTTATTTAACCTCAATGAATACTCAAATGAACAAATATAAATATATGATCATAACTATATCTATAAATGAACATTATGAGTATCAAATATGATCAAATACAAATAGCATATTAAACAATGATAAAACCAATTTTTATCAAATACAACTAGCATATTAAACATGAACATAATATGTTCTGTAAATGATTACTTACCTTGGAAATGGAGTCATTTTTAAATCCGTACCAATTGACTTGTCAATATCTTTTAAAAGTTCAAGATCTACAATTGGAGCCTTTTGGCGGTTTTTTTTTCAACTTTTCTACTCTTGACTGAAGAGGTACATCATCATCGTCTATGTTTTGTTTAATAAATTGTTATTTTTTTATTAATTTGTTAATTTAAAGTAAAATTTTACTACAATCGCAAGAAATTGAACAAAAATTAGGGTTCATACATAAAATTGAACAAAATTGAACAAAAATTAGGGTTCATACATTTCTTCAGAGTTTTTCAACAAAGTATTCGTCTCTGAAGTGTTCTTCGCAAAAATCATACTACAATTGCAAAAAAATTGAACAAAAATTAGTTTCCACATATAAAATCGCACTATAATTGTCATCGAACGAAAATGAACAAAATTACTTACTCTTTAGATACATCTTGCTACGATTTTGTAGTTTCATCTTGCATGTTCTTCTCTAAAGCGATTTTTTTCAAAATCACACTACAATCGCAAGAAATTGAACAAAAATAAGGTTTCATACATAAAATTGCACTAAAATCGCAAAAAATGAACAAAATTAACGAAATTACTTACTCTTTTTCAAAAATTTGTTGTGATAGTTTACTTTCATCTCGAATATCAGACATTTGAAGCAATTTTAGACTATTTAAAAGCAATTTTTTCAGTAATTCGCTCAAGCCAGAAGGCGCGCCCGGCCGGGCGGGGAAGAGTAGTTTGCGCCCGAGTTTTCGCCCGGCCGGGCGCGAGAGAAGCTCTTATAGAAGAAAAGGCGGGATTTTTTGAGTGTTAATTCCGGCAATTTATTTTAGTTTTAACTAGGAGTAATTGTTTTAGATATAAATACGATTTTAATGCTTTCGATTAGTAGCCGATGTAATTCCTACGTGAATTTGTATATGTAAATAAAAACAACTAACATAGTTTTAGGTATCGCGTTGCATATATTGTTTGGTAATGAAATTGTAAAAAAGGAAGAGCTAGTAGAGGCCGAACTAGGGCTAGGATAACGATTCCCCTCTAAAGGGGACGTTATTTTAGTACTCTCGCTCCCGAACTCATTTCTGGTTTATAGACTAATTTGGGCATGGGTAAACTAATGATTCATGCTAATTATTCCATGAATTCCACATGGAAGAAAGGCATTAACGAGGTTTATGAGTTTCCCTAAAACTAATTGGCGACAACCTATTTGTTTGTTACAAAAAAAACGTAATGATAGAATCAATTCTAATTCAAGGTCCCCCAAACAGTCAGGAATTCAAATCCTACTACACCCTAACGAGTGTAAAGTCCTAGGCTTTTAAGTGGGCATGGGCATTTAAGGAGAGGACTCCTTACGATGGGAACCCCCTTCTTACACTAGGCCTACAGATCAAGCTTTTGCAATTACTCTAAGGAGTGGTTCACACTATGAAGGGCCCCCTATGCTCTGAGATGATGAACCTGTTTTAATGAATGATGCTGATCTTGATTCCATTAAACCTGACAATGTTGTTAATAGCCCTGCGGGGCTAAAGAGTAGTCTAATATTTCTTATAATACATTGCAGGGTACGACTCCAGGGAAGGTTACAGCTCTAGATAAGAGAAATAATGCTCCAAAGCCAGTTAACAAACTTTCATTCCCCAATCGTCACTTGAAAACAAATTCGGATAAGCAGTTTGGTAAGTTTCTGGAGATGGTTAAAGATTTGATGGTAATAGTTCCCTTCACAGAATTAATTACACAAATTCTTGCATTTGCAAAATTCATGAAAGAAATATGTACTAGAAAGAGGTCTATTAGTGAGGTAGAGACAATCGCTTTTACTACAGAATGTAGTGTCGTACTTTAAAATAATCTCCACCTTAACTGAAAGATACGGGTAGTTTTTCTATCCCTTGTAATATTGGCAATCTAATGATTGATAATGCATTATGTGATTTGGGTGCTAGCATTATTGTCATGCCATTTTCTGTGTGTTCCAATTTAGATATGGGTAAATTAAAAGCTACTAATATTACTCTACAAATGGTCGACCGTTCTTTTAAATACCCCTTAGGTGTTTTAGAGGATGTTCCTGTTACAGCAGGTAAATTTTATATACCTGTTGATTTTGTTGTTCTTAGTATGGATGAGGATTTGCAAACCCCAATTATTTTGGGTAGACCAGTCCTTAACACTACAGGAGCAATTATAGATGTGAAATGTGGCAAATTGACACTATCAATAGGGGACGATAAAATTACTTTCAATTTGAATAATACCCCTAAAAGCCCCATGACAGAGGAGAAGTGTTTTAGTGTTAATGTATTTCATAATTTTTCTAATAAGCCCCAAGCTCTTGTAAAAGATCCCTTGGAGGTGGTATCTTGTGTTGTATATTCTACAGATGAAATAGACAAATGGCAAAAGGAAGTTGATGCAATAAAAAGAGCCATCTACACTGTCGGTCTTGGATTTGAAGATGAGAAGGTGGAAATAAACAAGAAAGTTGTGGAAATTGAGCTTACAGTAAGTGTTCTGCTAGATCGAGTTCCAATTTCTCAATCTAGTGATAATTTGAAGCAACCATCGGTCGAAAAGGGGTCTCTTGAGTGTAGTAGTAACGAACCCCCGTTTCAAGACAAGGAGGATCCATTAGATAAGGTGAATTGGTGTCCCACAGGGTATGTCAGGAAGCCACGTAGTGGTCTAAACACCGCTCGGCCAAGTGAAAAACCACCTGACCAAGCGGTAGGCCATGGGTCCTAATTTTTAAACTTGGTAAGAAGGTTGTGCGGGACCTTGATAAACCAGCGTTGTGCGGGAGGCACCCCGTATTTTCTTGATTTGTAGTCTAGATTTCTTTCTTTTTCTTGTGAGAGGAGAGAGGAGGGAGTTTAATGTGTTTATTGAGTTTTTGGACAGGTTTAAAGGAAAAGAGTTGGTCAAAATTTGAAGAAAAGAGAAAAGAATTCCTGTACTAAAGTTATCTCGAGCCCGACCGGGCGATAAAGTTGTCTCGGGCCCGACCGAGCGAAGCACCGCCCGATCGGGAATGAGACTAAGGGTTAAAATTCAAAAAATTTCGCCCGACCAGGCGAAGGACGCCCGACCGGGCGCGAGAATTGACGAAATACGGAGCATTTGATCGCCCGATCGGGCGAAGGGCGACCGACCGGGCGCGAGAGGACTCCAAATTTGAAAATCAAATCGCCTGACCGGGCCCGAATACCTCCGCTCGGGTTAATCTTCTTCTTCCTCCATTCTTTTCTCACTTCTTTCTCTTTCCACCATTTTTTTCTCTCTCTAAAACCTTAAACTCTCTAACTTCTCTCTAAGATCTCTTCTCCATTTCTCATCCAAATTCAATAATCTTTACATATTTTTAACCCTATCTTCATTCTCTACATTTCCATACCAAAATCCCCAAATTCCAATCAGAAAAAAATCTTACCCATTTTTGAAATATAGCATCAAAGAGGTCGAGGACAATTCTAGGGAGGAGTTCTAGCTCAAGTCAACAATACGGTCTGGAATTGCAACTTCCGCAATGGCCGACCATCAAAATTGCTACTTCGGAGCAAAGAGAACGACTTGAGCAATTCTACGGGGGTGAGGTAATCCCTTCACGGTGGTTACACCGCCCTACTCTTGAATCCTATGGCTTATATGATTATGTGAAACGTTTTTAGAACGATATAAGGATGCGAAAATTTGTAGATATACATTACTTTACTTATCGTGAATTAACATGTGAATTCTTGTCTTCTTTGACTGTTGTAAATAGAAAAAATGGTCCGAAAATAATTTTTAGGTTAAATAATAGAAATATTGTTTTACCTTTATTGATTTTTGTAAGATTTTTAATTTGAATTCTAAATTACCTAACCAATGGCATGAGCATTATAAAATGGAAGATATTTATCATGTTTTGAATGGTTTACCGGCGCTTAACACCCAACATGCTAGTGCCAGACCCATCCATCACCCTGTACCTAAAATCTGGAAAAGATTTGCAGGTGTTTATTTTTTGGGTAGGAAAGAGCCGCACAATGCCCAAACCAATGAATTAGCTGTCATTGGACACTATGTGTTTGGGTACGGTAAACTAAACATTGCTAGATACATCATCTTTCACCTCAGTAGACATGCCTCGGCTAGTGACCATGTTATCACCCTAACTCGTCTAGGAGGCCTCATCACCAGGATAGCAGTTATGAAGGTCGGGTTTGTACAGAGTGGACCTTATTGTCTCACTAACTGTGGACCAGAAATTTATATGACTGATAGGTACCTAGAGGACCTGGGTTGGGTACATTTGGATACCTAGAGAGTCCCCCATTGGTGCATTATAACAAGGTCGGAATAACCATTGCCTATCTTTCCCCTGCCTAATACCGAGTTGACTGCTTTTTCCCCTGGGAAAGAGTCTTACACATATGACCTATTAGTTGCCCACGCTAGGGGGAAAGCACCACCAGTTCCACCACCCCAGCCTGAGCCCGAGGTAGTGTTTTCACCACCTTGAATGTCTCATGCAGCCCCAACTCCTCCCCATAGAGACTCTAAAACATTTTAAGATCTTCAGAGTATAGGTCAGGCCATAGGGCGCATAGAGTATTCACATAGCGAACATAGAAGGATGGTAGGCTTCCTTGACCAGCGATTTGGGTACCTTGAGAGGAACCAGGGTAGAGCCTTGTATCCTATGTGTAATGATTATGCTCATCAGGGCAATTTTCCCGATGATGCTATTTACCCTGATTGGTTTCAGCCCATACCCCAGGGTTACGATAAAGATCCCACCGCCCGTGGTATTTATATTTACTATTCATATGTACAAGGGTACAGCCAGGACATTTCTTTTGGTGGACCGGCTGGGGGGGTTTTCGGCCTAACTATTTTGATGATAACTCTTCTGGTGCAGGTGGTAGCGGTGGAGGATTCGGCTCCATGGATGAGGATGATGAGGATTAGCCAGCTGGGCTAGTTCCCAAGCCAATGAGGACATTGTTTGATTC